TTTTTATTGGGAAGTTTGAAAATCCCCTTTCTACCCTTCTTGTGTTCTTATGGCTGGACTTAAAATTGACACAAGACACGATGAACAGGAAAAAAAAACAATTTAATTACATGCGTACAGGAGAATCTGGAAATGATGCTCAGAGATTGAACAAAGCAGGCAGTATATATATCTTTTACACAAAGAAACAATAAATTTATGAGGGATTGACAAGACAAAGAAACTTAGGTTTGGGGTATGTAATTAGTGAGGAATTTAAAAAGAGTTAAAGTTTGAGACAGTAAATTAACAAGGTTTGTTTACGCAGGCTTCTCGGCCGGAATTCCCTAGCTCTGGTGACGAGGATGCAGGGAGAGCATCTTTCACATGGGAGATTTATTCCCTGCTTTCAGGCAGAACAGAGACAGGAGGGCCAGAAAGCCCTTTTGGCTTCCCAAATACCTTTAATTCAAAACAATCAGTATGCTGTGGTGAGATATTTTGGGGGGCGTGCCCTGGGCCCCAACAGTAGCACTGTTGGCTGGGCATTTGGATTCCTAGATGAGCTCTTGTTTCAGTTGGTCTTGCTATTTTATTGTCCAGACCTTAAGCCTCAGTGTAGACCTCCAACAATGGAACATTTAGTAGCCCATCTAAATATCTAATATCTATATATTGCACTATTGCTAATAAAATCATTGCAATATTCTGATTTATAAGGAATATATATTTGATCATTCAGATGACCAAAATATATTTCTGATATATATATTTGGTCCCCAGTTCCTGGCTCACAGCTCCCAAAACCCTTGGAATTTCCTGAGCTGTAAGAACTATGGGAGCATCTTTTTTCATAATATTTGGTCTCTTGTCCTCAGTTCCTGAAATAGCCCCAGAACTATAAAGGTGAAATGAATGTCTTCATTATTCACAACAAGCTCCTTTCCACCCCAACTGGGTTTATGTTAATACAGTGACTTCTGGAAAGCACCTAAGGCTGGGGGCTTGTTGCCAAAGGAATCAACCTTGAAGAGAGGGTTGGAACTTTCGGTCCCACCTCTTGATTTCCAGGGAGGGGAGAGGGGCTGGAGGTTGAATCAATCACCAATGGCCAATGACTTAATCAATCATACCTATCATTTACTTACTCATAAATCCCAAAAGGATGGGTTTTGGAGGGCTTCTAGGTTGGTGATCACATAGAGATTTGGGGAGAGTGGCATGCTGGGAGAGGGCATGGAAGCTCCTCATTCTTTCCCCCTATCTTGCCCTATGCAACATCTGGTTGTTCTTGAGTTATAGCCTTTTATAATAAACAGGTGGTCTAGTAAGTAAAATGTTTCTTTGAGTCCTGTGAGCTCTCTAGCAAATTAATTGAACCCAAGAAAGGGGTCATTGGAACCTCTGATCTACAGCCATTCAGTCAGAAGTGCAAATGACAACCTAGACTTGCACCTGGAGTCTGAAGGGTGGGGGCGGGGAGCAGTCTTGTGAAACTGAGCCTTGACCTGTGGTATCTGATGCTGTCTCCCAGGTAGATCATCTCAGAATTGAGCTGAATTGCAGGACACCCATCGGGTGTCCAAGAACTGCTTGTTGGTGTGGGGAAACTTTCCCCCAACACACACACACAACACTAGAATTGGTGACCAGAATCTTAGTTATTTTGCTCTCATTTGATCTTTAATATAAGTCTGTGAGTTAGGCCACGTACAACTGGAAGTTGAGGCTCAGAGAGGGTTGCTCATGTTCATACAGATGGCACGATGCCTGGTCTTTCGTGTGCAAATTCCATGCTCTTCCTCATCACCCCAGTGCCTCCCACTCAGGCATCAGTGTGTCAGGAGCACACCGGGAAAGCCAAGATTTGAGAGACGGAGGCTTGTGAGGAGGTTTAAAATGAGTTGCTATGTTCCACCTGCACCTCTGCGTCCTACCTAGGCTCAGGACAAGAGATCCCAGAAAGGAAAAGGAAGAAGGCAGAAGAGGGAGGGAGAAATCCTGTGTCAACTTCTAATATTGCAAGAGAGCAAGGGTAACACTAGAGGACTCATTCCACCAGACCCACATCTCCTGAGTGGGCTTAGCTCCACCCCAAACTGCCCCAAACTCAGCTACAGATCTTTCTCTGAAGATAGGTCCAGCAGAAATGGAGCAACTAGCACATTAGGAAGAACACTAGGCTGAGTCCCAATTCTGCCACTTACTAGCCGAGCAACCTCCTCTGCTCCGAGCCTCAGTTTCCCCTTCTGTAAATGAGAATGTTAATAATACCTACCTCCCAGATTTATGGTGAGGATTATTGAGAGGAATAAATGAATTAGTGCCTGGAATGCTCATCCCCTGAATAACTGCGTAGCTTCCTCCCACACTTCAGGCCTTTACTTAGATGCCTCCTCTCAGGGATGCTTTTCATGTCCATCCCATTTAAAATTGCAACACTCTTCCCTCTTGATCCTTCCCACCCCGCTTCTGGCTTTACTTTTCCCCACAGAACATACCTCCATCTAACATAGTAAATATTTTACAGTCATGCACCACATAACATTTTGATTAACAATGGACCACATGTACAATGGTGGTTCCATAAGATTAGTACCATATAGCCTAGGTGTGTAGTAGGCTGTACCATCTAGGTTTGTGTAAGTACACTCTGTGACATTTGCACAACGACAAAATCGCCTAACGATGCATTTCTCAGAACATATCCCTGTCATTAAGCGACACTTGACTGTACTTGTTTATTCATTGTGTCTCCACCCTTCATAGGAAAGCAAGGATGGTTTGTCTGTTTTGTTTATTGCTTTATCTCCAGTGCCTACAAGAATGCCTGGCACAAAATAGGCATGCAATAAGTTCTAGTTGAATGAAGGAGGTTTTGCATTTTCATATGTGTTAAACTATCAGAGTTTCACATAAGCCAAGTGTGTTTCTTAATATGTAGTACATGAATACAAAAGAAAATAAACACTATGGGAATACAAAATAAAAATACACAGGTAATTGCAGCAAACGAAAAGGGCCTCCTTCAACGTCCTTATCCCACTTCTTCCCCACTTGTTCGCTCTTAGCTGAGTAATCTTGCAAATCTATCCTATTCACTCACAGGCGTATAAATGTTTAAATATAGGCATAAAAATGAAAGCAAACACTTTCTTGGTACTTACTATATGCCAGACATGGTTCTAAACACTTATGCGCATTAACTCATTTCGTCTCCACAACAATACTACAAGATAGGTGCTATTTTTACCCTCAATTTATAGATAAGGAAGCTAAGGCAGAGTTGTTATTTCTTTAATACATAAACGGAATCATACTAGACCTATTAGCCCACATTGTCCTTTTTCCATTTAAAATATGTTGTAGTTAGGTACACCTTGATATTTAAACTCAGACTCCCATCTGTTCCTTCCAGAGCCACTTCAGATTAGTATAGGACTTTCATTTCAATCCTGCTATTTACTGATTTTTAATCATGTCCTCAGTATCCTCCCACTTGGGGGCAGAACTAAGTGTCCTCAAGATCCTTTCTCTAACGGTCCATCATTTTGCTCTGGCAGCATCTCACAACTCCTCACTGTCTCTGCCCTTCCCTCTGGGATGGGGTACAGGGTGATGTTTGCTGTTCCCCAATCCCGAGGCCAGTTCTCACGAGCTGCCACAGGGCCCCTTTGAGTGTCCTATTAGCACCACCATTTGACTCCTTGCTTCCTTGCATCCAGAAACAAATCGCCTACCCCTAAGTGGGGATGTTAGAAGGTGGGAAAAGGATAACGTTAAACATTCTTTACAATCAGCAGATGCTCAAGGAAGTCAAGCAGGGGGAGCAATTGCTGCTATTTTTGCTAATTTGCTCACATTTTAAAACCAATTATTCGACCTCTTTGAGCCTCAGGTTTTTCATATGTTAAATGGTAGGCGCTCCCACCTTGCTACCTCGTGTGTCCGAAGATTAATATTTTGGGAGAATCTACATAATCATAATGAGTCATAACAGTCCCTCACACTCAGAGTGATTTACAACTTACCAACTACTTGTCAAAGAGGGTTATTTCCTAGACTTATAAAATTTCAGAGGTGGACCTCACAGATGCACATATCCAGCGGTTCCCAAACTCTCCCCTTCACATTGCCTGGCAAGAAGGGCCCACAAGGTATAATGGCAGTCCATGAACTCTTTTCAATATTTCAGTAAAGCTAACGGGAATCATATATTTCCCCAATAAAATCAGACTTTAATTGCGTTTGATGGGAATTATATCAACCAAAGCTGGTACTTATTGGAAAACTAATTATCCCTTAATAAATGTAACAATAGACATAACCTCTTGAAACATGGGGAGTCTACGGAAAGAAAAGTTGTCAAAGGAAAACTTAGCAGTGAATTGATGAAGGACTTAGGTCACAGAGATCCCTGTATTTTATAGATGAGAAAGGAGGAGCCCAAAGAAGGAAGTTGTACCCTGAAACCCCTCTTCTTCTTCACCACTCCTGCCTTAGATTATGCCTCATGTATTCTCTGTTGGACCTAGTGTCCTAGCTGGTGCTAGCCTCTAGACTGCCCCCTTCCATCTGCCCTTCAAATTGCAACCAAAGTGGCCTTTTTTGTATGCATCCCTCCTACCCTGTCAGGGATTAGCATTCTCTGATGTCAACCCATTGCTATTAGGATAAAGGCCCCCTCTTCTACGGGCACACAAGGCTCTTCATGATCTGGCTACACCATCCCTTGAGAGTCACCCTATGATCTAGCCACACCTAATGGTTTTTGGCCCCTGCATGCACCAGGCTTTCTCACTGTCCCTCTGTGTCTTTGAACAAACTGTTCCCTCTGCAGAATGACCTTCCTCCACCTGTTTACCTTCAAATTTGTTTCATCCTTCGAGTTTCAGCTTCTATCACATCTCCTCCAGGAAGCCTTCACTGCCTGCACTCCTTTGCTCCAGAATGGATTGAGTGCCTGCTCTGGGCATCTCAACACCCATGCTTCCATCTGGTATGCACTTTTTTTGCAGCGTTTCCATCTCCTCAGTAGACAGGGGACTGCTAAATGAACATGACTCCCCTACGATCTCATGGCCGAGGCAGGAGGCAAATGCTAGGTCTTCTCCTGGCTCAAAGGCTGTGTGCTGTAGCACATTGCAAGTGCTCTGAAAACCTCGAGCATTTGACTTTTCCCTCCATAGAGCCCACATTTTAAGAAAAAAAAAATTATCTAACATGGAGTTTATCAAGGAATTATTTTAGAACTACCAGAGAGGAAAGAAGGCATGCCTTCAGGGACCTTCGCAATCAGATTCTGTCCTCCAGACCACAAACTCACGGGAGGGTTTTAGAGCAAAAGCCCAAAGTGGAAGCACCTTCGAGGCGGAAGCACCGAGAGCAGCTTTGCCACAATTACTGTGCAGAGGCAAACAAGGCTAGAGACCCCGTCGCTTGTGTGAGAGAGAACCCAGGTAATGCATTAGCCAGGTAATCACATAACGCAGGTAATGGCAGGGTTCCCTCAAAGGGCATTTTCCTCTGGCCTCCTGCTTTCTGAGACCGGTCACGTACAATGCCAGGCAGGGAGACCAGCATCTTCTCTCACCTGCTTACAGGTACAGAGCCGCTACCCACGAAGGCCTTGGCACTTAAAGAGCACTGGTACACCTTCAGAACCTCCAGGCCCCAGCCTCCGGCGGCTGCTTTAATTGACGATGATCAGGAGACCCAGTGCTTGCAATAATTAGAGAGTCTACGTTTAATTCACAGTGTATTTCAATCTGCATTATTAGGACCTCTAACTGCCCTGGACAATTGATAAGCCAAGGACATTTATAATGTCTCTTTTTCAAATGAGGAAACTAAAGCTAAAAGATAAGTGACTTTCCTGAGATCTGATCAAAGTATGGAAGGTCTCTGTGTACTAACAGGGAATGGATCTGAAAATATTGAGCTTTATCTCTACATTACTGTGCAACATTGGTCAAGTTACTTAACTTCTCTGATTTTCACTTTCCTCATCTATAAAAGGGAGATAAATTATCTCTCACATGGTTGTTGGGAGATGAAATGAGATAATGCGCCTAGTCCAACAATGGACACACATGGACACTTGATACCTAGAACATAAGGACTCTCGTCTTGTAACCCCAAATCTGATGATCCTGCCTCAAACACGCTCTGAGGCTTTGGGTAAACCGCTTAGCCCTCTGGGCTGTACTTTTTCCATCTATAAAGGAGGTTCTAGTGACCTTACACAACCTCTCTAAACTCAGTTCACTCAACTCTAAATTGGGAGGAATAATTACAGTTTCTCCCTTATAGGGTTATTCTGAGGAGTGAAGCAGATAATGCTTAGAAAGCACTTAAGACAGTGCTTGGCACGTAGCCAACACTAAAGACAAATTAACTATTATCACTGTGGTTGTTGCTAACGTTAATATATTAGTCCCTCCCTTTATAAAAGGGGATATATACCCTCTCAGTCAGTAAAGTGATCAAAATTCAGTTCTATTTGGAGCAAAGGAAGGGAAGAAAATTCCTGTACTTTCACTACCAAAGCCCCCTCACCCTTTTCCTTCTTCCAGCTGACCTTAAAGAATCATAGACTTCAGGCCTGGAAAGGTTTTCAGAGGCCATCCACTTGACCTGTTCTCCAGTGTTTGAATTATCTCCACTAAGTGGCGTATACTTGAATACTTCTGGCGATGGAGACCTCACCATCTTATAGAGAAGCTCACTCTGTACACAGTTCTGTGTGCTAACCTCTCTTATATTAAGCTAAAATACAAGTCACAATAGCTTCTTCCTTTTGCCCCACTTCTACCCTTCAGCTCTAGCTGGATTCACAAAAGTCACAGGGAATTTGCAGAAGCCGAGCTTCAAGAACGTTTTTCTCCAGACTGTAACAAACTCAAATCGTATTCGTTGGTCATTTTTTTCCTCCCTCCTTCGGAAAAAAACCTTAAGCACATTTCACCATTCAAAAGATTTTTTCTTCTCCCCATCTGCTGGTTCCCACTGGGATGAAAAGCAATAAAAAGTCAGAAAGAAGTATAGGTTTGCCTTCTGGCTTTGTCACTTAGACGAATAGCACCGTAAAAACCAGTGAATGCTATCGGTTAAAGCGAACTCCTTCCTTTCCCCTGTGCAGTCCACTGAGTTCTGATGCTAGGGGTCTGGACAGGGAGGCCTTTTTCTGGAGACGGATAAGTTGGTGAGTTAAAGATTTTGCATTAAAAACAGTCTGGTTATAATATCTTCGTGACAGTTGCATTTTGCTCTCCATGTTTTGTGAATCATATCGATGGATCTCGGAGGGCACACCAGTTAGAGAAGAGGTACCTGGGAACCTCGCAAGGTATCTGCCAATCAGAGCATAATAAAAAAGAGCAGTTCCAAGCCAGACTGTGCGGTTATCAAGGGGTCTGTCTGCATTCTTTTCCCTTCCCCATCCCCCAGCATCAGCCTTCCCTTCTTTTTTTTTTTTTTCACGTCCTCTGTATTTCCAATCAGCTTCCAGATCTGGCACCAGCTTCAGGAAGCTGCATGAATAGGCGACATAAGAGGATCTTGTAATATTTCACACTTTCCAATGAAAAATACGCCGGTTAGGAATGTTAATATTTAATCACAGATAAAGTGTCTGAAAAGTTGCAGAAGAATTTTCCATTAAGATATGGAGATACTCGGAAAGTATACCTGCTTTGTTAGAAAACCTTATCAGGCAAGTAGACAGCATATGGTGCTAGGAAAATATGCTGGGGCAGCACTCGTGGGGCTAAATCTCTTGCCCTGCTGGGGGTGAAATATGTGAGTCCAGAGTTTATGAAAAGTGCAAAGAGTGCTTCTTGGTCCAGTGCACGTCTCTGAGCAACACAAGATTAGGAACTGGAAGGTGGATGCTGGGTCTTGGGTGTGGGCAGGAGGCTGGATGTCAAAGATGACTTTGACCCTTTTTCCTGTGAGAATGGTAGCCTCATGGACCCAGTAATAAATCATAAGCTAAAAGTTAGCTTTGCATTGCAATATATAAATTGTAGAGTGTCTTCACCTATCATCTCAGTAGATGTCCCATTATGGATGAATGATTTGAATCCCCTTTTGTGGAGGAGGGTACAGAGGCTCAGAGAGGTGAAGTTATTTTCTCAAAGTTATAGACCATGTGTAGTCGGGTTTTGAATGTGGGTTTTTCTCACTCTAAACTCGGTGCTCTTTCCACTAAAGCACATTTCTTTCAACAGGAAAAAGAGGAACCGGTCTGTTGTGGGGAAGATGATAGTAATGATGATGATGATGATGATGATGACAAAAATGATGCTGATAAATTAACACTTCCATTATCCTCATGTTTCGAACCCTGCTAACTGCCAAGCCCTGTGTTAGACACTTTCCGTGAAATCTCTCATTTAATCCTTATGACATCCATAAAAGGCGTTATTATTGTTGTTCTTTCATTTTATAGATGAACAAACAGGCTCAGAGAGGTAAAATGACTTGCCTAAGGTCACATAAGGGGTTATTCAAACCTAGCTCTGGATAGATTTAAAATTCCTGCGCTTCTATTAAACAGCAAAAAAAGGAAAAGAGTGGGAGGTGGATGAGGAAGATTTAGGGTTGAGACATGCGGAGTTCAGAGGCAGTCAGGAAAATTGATTTACATAGATAATCCTTTCAAAACTTGATTCAGTTACGGGTGCTCATAAGGCAGCTGGAAACTAACAGAAGCCTAGAGTTGAGGAAAGATACTGGAGGCAGACCTACAGAGCCAGTTATGTCCTAGGCACACAGTGAGCACCTAGTGCGTGCAGTTCCAATATTCACAAGGGCAAGCTGGATGGGGATCCTGAAAAAAGCCTGGAACTTTGTAAGGATTTTCTAAAATCATTTGGTAGCCTTGGTGCAGCTGAGTGCAGGAGGCTGGATTATAATGAGCAGTAGAGTCATGATGGGAAGTGAGGGTGCAGGTAACAGGGAACTATGGAGACGTAATGGCTTAAAGGATTATCAAGGTCAAGGGACTTTTCTCCCCACTTCTTTTAAGATAGGAATTGAACATTTTCACGGGCTATAGAAGGATTCAGTGGAGAGGGATAGAGCAGATATAAGAGAGAGAAGGAATAATCAATGGCGTGATTGAAGGCAATGTTGGGGGATTGCACTCAGAAAGAAAGGTCATCTTTCTCTAAGGCTCTGGCCACAATAAAGATTTGTATCAATGAAGGAATCATATCGAATTTCTGGAGTGGGAAAATCTCAGGGTATGAGCAAGGTAGACTGGGGTTCAAATCCTGATTCTGTCACTTTCTAACTCTCTGATCTTGAATAAATCAATTAACCTCTCTAAGCCTCAGTTTCTGCATCTCTGGAAAAGATGCAAAACAGAGATGTCATCACCCAACTCATTGGATTGTTCCAAAGCAGGGATTCCCCAACTTTCTTGAGTCACAGATTCTTCAGTGTCTCAGCAATTTCTCACAAGGCCCTCGGCCAAAATAAATACCCAACAGTTTGATTTATTGAGTAGTTGGGTTCAACAATTTAATAAGTGTGTATGTCCTATCACTTCATACAGATAATTTAAAAGAAAGATAATGTTATCACTTCATTCTTAAATAAACACAATCATTTACTTACTCATGGAATGTATGGGACTGTGGACATGCATAACTTCTCAAAACTTGGAATTAGATTGAGCATCGAAATCCCCATTTCCTGTTCCACACTGATGTTTGCATTACTTGCTTTTTTATTACAGCAACCCTCTAAAACCCACCATCACATACATATGACGTCATTGGAAGGACTGTAGTATGATCTGATGTCGAGACGGTGAGGTCCCTCACCCTAGTAGTCCAGGATGTTCAGCAGATGTCAAACAGCCCTGAGTTTCTCTTTGAAGTGTTAAGTATCTCTTGGTGCCTCTCCAAGTTCTTTGTGGCCCCCTGGGCACCTTGGCACACTTTGAGAACCGTCATTCTAAAGATTAAATTAAATTTTAGGTGTATTATATGTACAGCATACAAAAATCCCATACAAATTGATAA